CCCCACCCCACCGTACTCTCTAAGCCGCAAGGCACGAGATACAGACTACAATCTACACAAGCATGTCAACTACCTCCGAGACGTGATCGTCGGTCTATGAATGATCGCAGGAAAAATGTGAAAAGGGGACGGGATAACATCTAGGGTGGCCTGAGCATACTGAAAGCTCCGAGTGCATCAAAGCACGAGTCAAGAACTCTATAAAGGAACTTTGGTTTTTGTCCTAACGCTATCAATTTCCTGGGGGGGGGGCGGTGGCTCTGACCCTCCGTTCCACTAAAAAATTATGGAGAAAAATAAACAGCTTTTTTCCATTTCGCGTAATGGGAGCGGATTCGCTGTTTCCCGCTGCTCGGACTGCATAATGGGTGGGTTTTTCTGTGAGAGTTCAAGAGGCTCAATTTTGAGGGTAGAAAGCCGCAGAGCGACAGCAAGTTTAACGACGTTGTCTGACTTCAAATGACTCTCGTTAAGAGCGCAAATAGAGAGATGAGGTACACGGTTTTACTTTTTGTGGAATTTTGTTTTTGTGAATTATTCATTGAGAGGGGAACACAATTTTGGGTAATGAGGATGTATTATGAGGTAAAAATGTTCTGGTGGGATGAACTAATGGAATAAGCTGTTGGTTTTAAAGAGTTTTGACTCAATTGTTTCAAATTCGCTAACTTTGACAATAGATTTAATTGATTTTTTATATGTTTGACCTCATGATGACATACCCGAGTCGAGGATTTGGTTCTGATTGGACGTACACAGGTCTTTCAAGATCTCTCCAGACCTAGATAGATCTGGTAAGTCCTAATCAGGTCTGCGACGTACTTTTCCAGAGACCTTTCGAATCCTCAGTTCTTTTCGGTCCTGAGAAGTCCTCCTCGATGCTACCGAGAACGCGTGATTTTACGAGCGGGTGAAGGGGAAGGCATGTATGCGGAGGGTCGAAATTTGTAGCCAACTAGGAGACAGGGTTGCAGAATATATTTTAGCCACCCTCATCTCTCCGTTTGCAGGCGGTGTTTAAATAAAAGTGATTTTCGGTTTTTCCCGGGGAAGGTCGACTTTCGCCAAAATCGAATTTTTTAGCCGGGTGAACGTTGATTCCAACTATTTAAGCGACGGGCTATTCAGAACTCTCAAAAATATGTGGAAAAAGTGAAAACTGAAAAAAAAAAATTTTCACCGGGGGCCACAGCGTCAGATTTTCGGTTTTTACTTGGAACAGTGGTCAGATTTGTTAACACTTTCATTTTTTATTTGGATAATGCATGCAAGCGTAGCGACAAGAGTGGCTAGAATAGATTCTGCAACCTCCTCCCCTTGGGTAAAAATGTCAAGCCTCCACATACATGCATCTCCCCTCCACCCTCNACTTGGAACAGTGGTCAGATTTGTTAACACTTTCATTTTTTATTTGGATAATGCATGCAAGCGTAGCGACAAGAGTGGCTAGAATAGATTCTGCAACCTCCTCCCCTTGGGTAAAAATGTCAAGCCTCCACATACATGCATCTCCCCTCCACCCTCTCGTGAAACGTCGATTTTCGAGATTAAAAAAAAAAACAATAATTGCATTTTTTATTTCAATACCGCATGAGTAAACAGGGATATGAACGCAGATTTAATATAGGCCCATAGAATTACGGGGACCGGCAAGGATTTGGAAAGTCTGAATACAAGTCCTGCTTACACCTAACAAGTTCTGAAATGGGACATAACCAGAGGTAGAAAGGTCTCGGAAGCACTTGGGAAGAGGCTTCCCAAGACCTATTCAGTTCTAAACGAAAAGACCTAAGTAGAACTTGTCAGGTCCAATTATTCAACTCGGGCATGACCGGTTTGCAAAGTATTTAATGAATTGATAGATGCATTGCAATATTATACTGTTAGAATTTTTTTTTAATTATTAGTAAGATTAATAATAAAAAATTACTATCAATGTTTCAATAACATCTATAATTTTCAGTAGATTAAAAATTCAGGGAAATTGTTGCTTGAATTTTCAAATAATAACTTTCATCATCACGTGGAGCTGAAAATTGCAATTCCATTTCAATACTCCAGAATTCAACTGATTTTTCAATAATAAAATGCATGAAAATTTCATCTGAATGAGTGGTTATTAAAAAATTCAAAATTTTTTACTTCAAATTTCAGGAGTAATTTCCTAACAACGTAAGGGATTTTGTAAATTTTGAAATATAGATGGAATCAATAAATAAATAAAAATGATGGAATCAAATTGCCCTGATCATGTCCTAATGACGGAGTTATTCAATAAATGTCCGGGTTTTTCATGAATATTAAAGGAACCAGCGCAGAGATGACCCTAAAACTCAATCGACAATTTCAAAAAACGTCGTCTCAACCTCAAAAATAAAATAACGCCCCAGCATTTCCGTGTTTACCCCCAAACCATCCTTAATAATATGAGCACCCTCCGGTATCACAAAACCGCCAATATCAATTTATCTGAAGGGCCCTTAAGCCGAGGTATACCGAGAGCAGTGCCATCCCCACGTAGTTGCATCCAATGCAACAACGGATACGTCGCATTAAACGACTCCCCACTGTGACTCAAGAGTCTCCCCAGTACGAGTCGAGGAAAGAGATACCGAAAATAAAAAGAAGTAATAAGGAGGGTGGGCAGGGGAATACAGACACAAGTACAGTTGAAAGTGAGAAAGACACTCACCCCTTGGAGAGTAGTTTCTGTCCTCACCCAAGTAGAACGGCCCTTGGCGCACCACAATCTCGTGGACGATTATGGCAAAACTGTAGACGTCTCCTTTCTGAGTACCCTCAGGCGGTGGCCTCTCCATCCTCAACAACTCGGGCGCTGTCCACAGTTGTTCTGAGAAATGAAAAAATAATACTTTGAGAATTACTTTGTATTTTCTTTTCGGTGTCATCTGGATTATTGCGCAGCTGAAGTTTTTGGAAATGTGAGATGAGGAGGAAAGTTCAACTTTGGGTAGTGGTTTAGGGGAATATTCGAGTTTGGAGTTTTGAGAGGAGAGCAAATACTTTGGGAAGACAATCGCTCCCGTCCGTATGTCAATGTACTTCCTCAAATTCCTCTTTGAAATCATAAATTCGTCTGAAATATTAAAGAGGCGACACCGCAAATGCTGTTGTTCCCTTTTCGTTCTTTTACTGTTCTAGTTATTTGCTCTTACTTTTCTGCTCATGACTTTGTCATTACTTTATATTTGTGCCGCATAATGTACAGTGCATTATATTCTGAAATAAAACTGCTCAGTTGAGTGAAATTCTCAAAGGAGTGTTGAACTCCTTTTATTATTAATTTAATCCAAAGATATCTTCGCGAATTTTTGAAATAATTTCTTTTGTCATAGAAAATCGAACGAATTCAATAAATTTATAACGTAAACAAAATTCGGTCTGCAATATATTCATGGTCAGCTATTCCCTCCACGTTTTCCCTCGCATACCGTATCACAAGAAGAAAAAAAATCCGACTTTCCCCTGAATTTCAATGTAAAATCCCGATACGCCCTCGTGTAATATTAGAAATAGGATTGAATCCAAGTTTGCGTTATGCATCGGAGTAATTTCCCCAGGAAGAGAGAGCCTCTCCCCCAACTGGTGTTCACAAGCCCGAGTCATTTTCCCCAGTTCGTGAGGCACGTACACGTTGAATAAACGAACGGTATGAATAAATACGAAATGAGTACGTAGAGCGTGATTTTTGAGTAGTAGTCAAGGAGTGTGCGTCTTACTTCTCCAGTGGGCGTAGCTATCCTTGTCGTCGTCAGGATCGTTGGGCCACGGCTTTCGCAGTGCGTGAAGACCGAAGTCGGTGATTTTGAGAACGAATCTTGAATCGACGACACAGTTTGAGGATTTTAAAGACCCGTGGCTCTTTAATTCAGAGGCGTGAAGGTACGCCATTCCTCTAACTATGTCGTGGATCAAAGAACCTCGGAAGACTCGGTCCAACTTGATCTGATCGTTCTCCAGAATGTCCTGAAGAGTGAGAGGAGAGACGAAAAGAAATCGTGAGATGCGATTTCAAATTCTTACATTTCGCAATGTAATTAAAAGTAACTTAATGCAATCCCCAAACAGACGCATTAAAAAGCAATGCTAAACCGAATTGTCAATCAATAATTATTAATAATTATTAATTATTAATCATTATTCCTTTCCCCACAAAAATTTAGTCATTTCTCTCAAATTACTCTATTATTTGTATGAGATTGTTTATTTGGGGTGATTTATATGGGGTTTATCCGTAATTTCGATGAGATTATATCAACTGACCTGGAGTGAACCCTTCGGGCAGTACTCAGTTAAAAGACAACAGTGCGGTGGTTCAACGCAAGCACCGTAAAACCTCACCAAATGATCGTGCTGAAGGTCCTTCATCTGTAACAGTAGCAAACCGACCATCCACGTGAATAAAACTACCTGTCGCATGCAACCGAGAGCGAAGAAAAAAAACCATTTACAAAAGTCAGAAAATAACCTGGAGTTGTCCATCCCATTTTCCCTGGCAAAATGAAAAAAATAAAATCCCCGAAAAGCCCGCAATATCGAGTGTTATTAAGTAAATCGATAAATTTGTTACCAACCCTTTTCAACTCCAGCAACAATGGCCTCGATATTTCCACTTTGTTTCTGGGGATTGGCTTTATGGCGACCTTAGAATTCTGTAATGAAAAATTTCAATTTACTTGTTTTTTTGTGCAACTTTTTCCCTCCGTATTTTCATGGGGATATTAAATCAAACTAATTGGCAGAGTCGGGGGAAATGTCTCGAGGGCAAGAGGGCTTAATCGGTCCGGCGAAGAAATGAAATATCTCGTAACGAAAGGTGGAGGCGGAAGGTAAAGCTGACAAGAAAGTGACGAGGAAATGTATCTGGCGAGGGAGAAAATGCTCGCATTGCCATTCCTCTCAGTTCTGAATTTTTCTCATTTAAAAAATGACGAAAATTCAACGAATTCCACAATTTTTTTGAGCTCTTCATAATTTAGGAAATGAAACGATATTTATTTACCTTGTAAATAGCAGTTGGGATGTAGACATTTCTGTCGACACCTCCAGCAAGGCTGATATTGTCATCCGAGTAAATAGTCTGAAAATAAAGTACCTCCTGTACAAAGGAAAAACAATTATCCCCGTCTCCATGTTTATACCCCACACCTTTTTCCTGTTGTTGAAAAGCAAATGGTGTCTCTGGGGCATAAAAATGAGATTCATCCCGCTGCAAAATTTAATAGCCAAGCCCTTTGCAAGTCCCTTTGACAAAGTGTTCCGCAGAATTGGATTATCAAATAAATTTCTCACCGCATTCTTCTCCTCACGGCAAATATAATATCAGACATGAAAGGTGGAGAATTGAAAACTAGGGACCAGAACAATATTTACCAGCTGACTTCCACGCTGCTTGTTCCCAGTGAGAGAGTACATGGATCCCCTTGTCTTTCTCGGTGCCATGACTATCACGTCCTCCCAATGCACTTTCCACGTCATAGAAGCGATTTCTGCCTCCAACTTGTAATGCCTGAGGAGGAAAAATGAGTGAATGAGGAAACGGATGGGGACGGAGAGGGAGATTTATATCTGTATACACTCAAGAGGGTAAACATTTTTTACTCCTCAGGCCCTTTCATTTTACCCTATTTTCCGAAGTTAAAATTTTCCGCTTCCCGCCGGGCATAAATACACCTCGTCAAAGGATTAAAAAATCCAAACCGCATAATCCACTGGCGGATTTTCACTGCACGAATGCAACCATATTCATCTCGATCATTTTCAATTTAATGGGGAAAGTTAGTAGATCAGAGTTGAATTGTAATTGGATTGTGAGAAAATTCTGCCCATCTTGGCGGTTAAATTATTCAGATTGATGAAAAAATGGTTTTTCCGAGGATTAAATATACAATTGATTAATTAATCAATCCATTAATTCATGCAACAATTCATTAATTACATTTTCAATGCTGAATATTACCAAAATATGAAAAATGCAAACTACATAATCCACTAGTGAATTTTCACGTCACGAATAAAATCAAATTCATCTCTATAATTTTCAATTATTCATGTCGATAAAAAATATGTATTCTGGGAATTAATGACATTGAACATATTAGCAAAATATTAAAAAATCTAAATCCCATAATCCACTAATGAATTTTCCCGTCACGATTAAAACCAAATTCATCTCCATAATTTCAAATTTAATGTTGAAACTTATTAGGTCATAGTTGCAATGATTCCAATAGCATTATGAGAAAATTCTGTCAATCTCGGCGGTTAAATTATTCATATCGCAAAAAAATATCTATTCTGGGGATTAATTACATTTCCAATGTTCAATATTAGCAAAATATTTGCCTCATAAATTCACGTTATTCCCACAATCCAACCCCAGCAGGATGGAATGCATTAAACTGATTTACATGCACACACCACTGGCATTCATTGCATTATCGATGTGTCCCCACTGGAATTGCAGAAATGAAATTCAAAGTCTCGTGTCTGATAATCCACCGGTTTCACCAGGGAATACAGGGGGATCTTCACGTTGTTGGACGTTGCTTTTATGGCTTTTTCATTTGATCCTGTCATTGGATGCAGTTACTGTTGCCCCCCGAGGTTGGAGGGGGAAAAAAAACATTGGAAATAAATGGCGAGTTTTATTTCTCTGTGCATGGAGAACATCTGAGGAGCTTTTTTATCATCTCTTTGCAGATTCCCTCTGGGCGAGAGGTTTTCATTCAGGCTTGAGGGACATAAATCTTGGAAATGTCAACGTGTGAGCAAGGTACAAAAATCAAATCTCCGGAAATGTCAGACTCATATCCACTTGTCAACTCTTTTATAAGAGAAATGGGAGGGGAAATTATTTTCAATTTTCCTTTGATAATTCAACGTAGACTCAGCAAAACACAACATTTTTGCCACTTGGGGATTAATTTTTTAACGACAGATAAAAATAAAAATTGAAAAATCAACAGAATTCAATACGTTTGGTAAAAATGTCACAAGTTCAGTCTTAATTACAATATTTTTCTTTAGTTTCCGCCGTAAAACTTCAAGTTTTCACTATATTTATCACATTTCATTTTCCCTAAAATGAATTAAATTCATTGAAAATTCCTCTTCGATTAATTTACATGAGAAACAAAAACTAATTAACACTAGACAAACTGAAAATGACCATTCAATGAACTCGATCGACCCATCAAACAGAATGGATGCCATTCCCACATTTTAGTTACTCCGCAAACACGAAAAGTCATCGTGCAAACGCACATCCCCCAGCAATATCTCCCAGAACGTGCAATTAATTCCACTGACGTGTCCCAGCCCTATCCGTCCTGCATGTCGAATGGCCTCACACGTTACCCCTATGCAATGCACCCAGGTGGCCCTAGTTATGTGTATCGAAAATCCCATGGCAGATGTACGAGGCAATCCGATACAGAGAAGTGTCTGCCGAAAGCTGCCCCAAAATCCGAATCCACTGTTCATAATTATGTGTCTGTATCTCCCCTGGGCCGACGACATCGAAATGCCCCGGAATGCAGCGCCATTTCCAGTAATCAATGGACAAATTAACGACTTTTTTCTGCTACTCTCGAAGCGATTGCCATCTCAACATTTAATTTCGCGTCAATTTATTTTTCTATCATTCGCAGTCATTCGTTTCGCTCGCGCTTCATTTACCCGGGGAAATTAAAAGTTTTTCATTTCCGGGATAAACCGATTGAAAATTTTTTTTCAACTTGTTTCAAGGATATTGAGTATCAAATGTTGTCCGTTCGAAATGCATAAATTCCAGAAAAAAAAGGAAAAATAATTCCTCCAAATTATGTATTTCCTTTTTATTTGCATTAAACCATATAGTATACATTATATATAATATTATATTATTATATCATATATATTAGTATATATTACATATATTATATGATATATACATAGACATCATATTCCATTACTTGATAAACGGAATAGAAGCTTCAAAAATCGTTACACTGTATTTTTTAAATTGGAAATATTTCTTTGCTGGCATCTGGGGCTCGGAATTAATCATTATTATTCGAAATATTTACGGAATCTTAATAGAAAAGTTATTTTATGTCAGGGGACCGGAGCAAATCCTCGGTTGATAAATGACGACAAGACTGATGTTCCTCATAAATCCCTAATCTCCCACATTGGGGGGAAAATGTTGAATATTTTTATTTTCATTTTTATTCTCGCCACGGAAAAAACGAATACTTCTCAAATCCTCGCAAATCCTCTCAAATTTACTGTCAGCAGTTCGGATTCTAAAATCTTCGATTCCTGTCACGAAGGAGTGGCGCGAACCTATTTATCTGCACTTACATCTACAGTTTCTTCCATCATTCTTAACGATGACGAGCAGTCTGGGGGAAAAATCTGCTTTGCTTCCACACATGAGGATAATTCTCACCCTCGCCCCCCGCAGTCCCTCCGTTAAGACTGTTAGGAAGTTGGGAGACGAAGAAATTCTTTACTGATAACTGTAATGCGACAAGAAGTCGGGAAAAGTTGGTTTTGTCCATCGATCGAAGGGCCTCCACTTCCGTAACTTCGTGATGTGCGACAGGTGCTTTTGCCAATTTTTTTCCTCACATTTCTCAACTTTATTTTCAAACTTGTTTCTTCTGCACCAATATTCGCGATATTTTCACATTAACGTTGGCGTCTGGAGACGGAAGTGAGAAGTATATTACGTTTCGAAGAATCAAATTTCTTTCTCACTTTGAGTTGGGATTCGCAGAATGCAGCTATTCAGAGTTGTAATGGAAAAGGAATTGCAAGCTCCCAGGTAACGATTTGCAACTTGAGCAGTGAGGAGGTAACAAAGGTATTCTCAGACGAATGCTTGACTCCAACTGGATGCTCTCATAATTGTCATAAGACCCGTAGATGTTTGGAATTAATTTGTCGCTTTTATTCACACGAAAGTGCTTTGAAGTTTCGGCGAAAAAACATTTCATCGCGAATTATATCTCGTTTTCACGTGTTGGAAAACCAATAAATAGGAGAGAAACTCAATATTGAAGGCAGAGCTGTATCCCCGAATTCTGGAAACTCCAGTAATTCATCGGGTATAAACAGAAAATTTTATTCCCCGAACGGACAACATTTGATACTAAATATCCTTGAAACACGGGAAAACAAATTTAGCAGTCGATTTATCCTGGAAATGAAAAACTTTTAATTTCACTGGGTAAATGAAGAAGCGAAAACAAATGGGGGCAGGTGATAGAGAAATAAATTGACGAGAAAATAAGAGTTGAAATGGCAATTGTTTCGAGAATAGCAGATAACTGTCGTTAATTTGTCCATTAATTACTGGAGGTGGCCGAATTATTCCTCGTTTTAATGTTCAAAGCTGTTTCCCTGGGTGTTAGAAACTCCAGTAATTCATCGGTGATAAACGGAGAATTTTATTTTTCGAACAGACAACATTTGATACTAAATATCCTTGAAACAAGAATGCATTTAAAACTCCGTGAATAATCCTAGATTTAATTGAAATTTTCAATTATTTATGATTATTAAAAGATTTTTCTCTAAAATTGGAGAAATAAGTTCTAGACCTCAATAACTTTTTTACTTTACTTTGATTTTTACTCCATAATTTTTTTAGTATATATGATATATAGTAATATGATATAATAATATAATATAATAATATAATATATACTATATATAGTATATAATACATACCATATATGTTTTATACTGTAATTTTTTTAACAATAAAAAAATTTAATACAGTTCTGTACAGTAAAAAAATTGAGATAAAAATTAATGAAAGTGAAAAACGACAAGGTTTTAACTATTATAGCACCCATGGAAAACAATACGCGCGCTTCGCACGCGCCCTGTTCTCGTTCTTTCAAATAATTCCAAAATTGTGTTCATGTCATTCCATATCCCCAAATTAAAAAAAAAACACTAATAATGCTAATTATCCTATTTACCTGTAAATGATGACTGATACGACAACAAGTCCAACGACAATCGAGCTGAGAACAATGGACAGAATAGCGTATCCCGGCAATGCTGCAGGAATGAATGAATTATGAGGATTCGTTCATCCGTTAAATCATCTAATTATCGTCGTAACCGGGGTTTCAAAGACAGACCTGAAATCCCTCATTAATACTCACTATTGTCCGGGCACAACGATCCGTCGTATCCGCATTTAGGTGTGTCAGGGGGTGGCTCCAATCTACCCCCAGACCAGTGTATCCGTTTACCAGGCACATACTCCAGAGTTTTATTAGCCCCGTAATAATTTGCAACGATCTGGATGAAACAGTTCAACTGAGTTGATTGCCCTACAACACTCTCGGGTGTGGGGATAACTTTGCGGGTATGGTGGATAAACGGAGCAGGTGATTATCTCGGTTTTAGGGGCAACGGGGGCGGGGGAAGAGAGAAAGAGAGAGAGATAAAATCGGGCCTCTGGTGGGGTTCACTTACCTCGAATTTTGAGGTTTCGGGATTCATGTCTAAAAGTGAGTAGTCAGCTAGTCTATCCCCATTCTCATCGATCGTTACGTCTCCGGTTATGCCTTCAATGCAAATACAAAGGAAATACATCATTTGGAGGAATTATTTTTTTCTCGTTTTTTTGAAATTTTCAATTATTTGTATTTCAGTCCCTCAATAACTTTTTTACTTTACTTTTATTTTTACTCAGGATTTTTTAGTTTTTACTTTTCACTTATTACCGTTGTTTATTTCATTAAATTTTAGAAATGTTTCTACTGAAATTAAGTGATTAGTTCCTTATTCTCAGCTTTATGTCTTCTAGAACCACTAGTTCCTTGAAGAAAAATATTTTGTAATTTTTGTGTCTATTGTTACTCGATTATTCATAATAAATTATATTTGAATTCAGAATAAAACTTCGCAAATGCGCTCAGAAACGAAATGCTAAAATCGTGGAATTTATTCCGTATTGAGCTCCTCGGAATCTCCACAATTCGTCTAAATAGTTTTTTTAATAAAAAAAAAATGTAGCAAATGTCCCCATTCAGTATCTTCATTCTGAAAACTAGAAACCATTTTTCTCTATGAAGAATAGTGCTATATTGTGGTATTACTTCCCCTTTTAAATCTTCATTCTGAATAACATGCCAGGATATACGACCCTAATACCAAACATTGAATGTCAGTGTATAATTCTTGAGCAACCACTAAGAATGATGGATATCTCCGGCCCCCTGATGTAATTCAGGTAGCCATGAGCCATCCTCCCCCAAGCGGAACATATTTTCTCTCTTTATTGTGGGGAATAGCGACCCCGGTGACTCCTTGTTTTGGATTTTCCACCACATGTGGCAGATACTCTACCATCATCCCCTCCCTCCCTCCCTCCCTTCGTGTAAATCCTACTGGATAAGCCGTGATGAATGCAAGTGCCACGAGGGGTGAATAGAAAGTTATCCGTAAGGATGATGGAAGATGCCGTGAATTCTCTTGCCAACAATTTTGAGTAATCTCCGTGAAGTGATACACTCTCAAAAATTTTTGGGGGAAATTTCGAGAAGAATTGGTGGAAATTTTGATTGAGTGATAATTTCGCGGAATTATCCCTTGAAAATTAAGAGATATCAGGAATGTTCAGATGCAATTCAGTGTGACTTTACTGAATATTCATGTTTTTACTGCAAAATTAACAAAGCTGGAAAATTCTCGTTTTCTTGTTGCTTTAAAATTTGGAATTTCATTAAATTTTCAGAGAAATTTTAAATTTTATGATTGTTTTTCCTGTTCTTTAACGAACAATGTTGGCTAATCTTCACTGCAATAAAAAAAAATCTAAATTTCGATTAAGTGATTTTTCTGAAATTTCAAGTGATTTCCTGATTAAAATAAAAAATGGAAAACTTTAAATTTCAGTCCAATTTTCCCATGAAAATTGAGAGATATCAGGAATGTTCAAGCGAAATTCATTGTAATTTGGTACTGAATATTCATGTTCTGATTAAAACATGAGAAATTTCATGAATTTATTTCCTGAAATCGAATCCAACGTCCAGAAAATTTCAATTTCCCTCAACAAAAGCACCCACAAGATCAATTGCACAATAATTCAGAGCCACGACTCCCCGAAAACCCAAAAGTTCGTGTACTCACCCCTGAAGCTCTTCCCCCACATTCTTCTCGTCAAGTTTCCTCCATCGAGGTTCACCTCACCGGGATTTTCGGGCAAACTCTCCTTGAGTGCCAGAGCATAAAGGAACACAGCGTCGTAAAAAGCCGCGACAAACGTTGATAGCAAACTACTGCCAAACGTGAAGTTGTATTTGCTCTGTGCCAGTGCTTTAACTTCCCTTGAAAAATTCAGATACTCTTCATTATCCGGCGTGCGAGCTGTTACCGTTAATAACGACTGATACGCCTTTCGCGCTTTCTCATTGCGTTCGTCAGTGTCTCCCTCCATTCTCCATCTTTCCTTCGAGTTATTATCACTGAGAACAAAAATAAAAAGCGAAATAATAGGGATATGTTCCGAGATTTTTCACTCGGGAAAAAATTCTATAGGAAAACCCAGGGAATTCAGTGGAAAATTCCATCGATTTTCTATTGAAAATTTTAATTGTTTTTGGCCGATTCTCTTCTCCGTATTAAAAAAAATAAAATATCTCCAATAGAAACTATTTCATAAAAAAAGTAATAAAACTCCATCTTTCTACGAAACTTTTTATATTTTTTATACAGACTCTTCCACATGAATTTTTCAAGGTTTCTCCACTCTATTTCTCTTCTATTTTCCTTCAATTTTCGTCTCAAAAAATCAAAATCAAATAAAATAAAATTCTGCAATTTCCCAATGTCAACTTCTCAAATTTTCGCCAATGAATTTAAATAATTTCTTCCTAAAAAATGTCAGGGAATATTCCTACTGTTTCAATGTCCCGATCACCCTTGATCCGCCCGAAGGTCAATCAATAAAATCCAAAAATGTCGCGTTATTTTCGGGTATAATGCCCCTGACTTATCCATGAGCCAATCCACCCCCAAAAATAGCTGTACCGGGGCAGCAGTCACATCCCGAAAACTCCTATTTCCAGTGATAAAGAATGACTGCCATCAGCAACCGATGGAGTGTCTTTGTGACACGCGACGTTTCTATTTCAATCATATCGACTCCACTGAAGTCTTCCTCACTGATAATAAAGGCGGACCGACCGAGACACTGAACGAACATATCGGCCTTCATGATCTATGAACGAGCGTCTCAGTGAGGCTTTTGTTCACGTCATTGGAGTACTTACCAATGCAGAGAGATTATTTTTTCAATGCCCCCATCCCCCGGATTTTTCAAAGGATTTTTATATCTCAAATAGCTTGATTACTCCCTTTGTGGCATTAAAAAATTGTCCGAGGAGTTTAATTAACAACTAGACAAGGGAGAACAGTGGAATCATTTCCCCGAAGTTAACCAGAAATTCGATAAAACGTTCATCTCTGCATAAAGCCATTTTCAACTAGTTCAGCCCCGAATAACTGTGGAAAGGCATTTGAAACATTGAGATCTGCCAGTGCGTGTGACGAACAAATGAAAGCATCACGCAGGAGCGGTGACACGTGTGATACTGGGAAAAGGCCTTTCAACTTCTCCTGGGTTAATCGAATCAACTAGACACACGAGCACTCCCAAAGTGCTAACTCACACTTTCAACCACTCGACATCTAACCCGTCCCTTCGTGGCAGTTTCCACAGTTTTTTCAACAATTTTACCGGGGGTGGATTAGGGTACTGGAGCTGACAGTAACAAGTATCTTGCATTTATCTTGTTGGAAAAGGTAATTTTATTGTGCATTGCATTGAAGACTCTCGCGAGAGTTATGGATGGGGCTATTTCAGGTCTCAGAGTGAATTGTGAAAGTTATTTATAAGAAGAAAATTATTCCTGAGTAATGATTATATGCTTTCTGGTATTTTTGAAGATTTATATATTTTTTCAGCTAATTCTGCACTTTTCCGCAACTGCCACAATTTAATTTTAAAATTCTTGTGTTCTTCTGTGATTTATTAAAAATTTATTGTTTTATTATTTATTAATTTAAAAATAATAACTTAATAAATAAAATAGCTTGCGAAACTCCTGGCATTTTATAAACTCAAAAATAAATTAAACCCATGCGTAATCTTGGTTTAAATCTGAAAACTCATTTTTCAGCCAATTCTGCACTTTTAATTCCGCAACTGCCACACTTTAATTTTAAAATTCTTGTGTTCTTCTGTGGCTTATTAAAAATTTATTGAAGGATTATCCAAAGTATCTAAACTAGTCGTATTACCCAATTTAAATAATTAATTTAACGCCGTAGGAAAGTTTTTAAAAATTTTTCATTCATTCCTTCAACAAAAATAAAAACTTAATAAATAAAATAACTTGCAAAGCTCCTGGCATTTTATAAACTCAAAAATAGCTTAACCCAATGCGTAATCTCGGCTCAAATCTAAAAACTCATTTTTCCTCCTGAAAATAAATAAAAATGTAACTCACCTAGATGACAATTCAATCGAGAAGAAGACGTACTCTCCAGAGTCCACCATGCCCAGCTCCTCAGCTGCCAGCAGAATCTCCCGTATCGTCGTGGAGTTGGCGCACATAACAACGACTGAAACCCACAGAGAAGAGGGAAAAAATCCCAGCATTAGAGGACTACCGCAATTATCGCAATAAAAATATCGTTGAGATTGTAAAAAAAAGTTTACAAAGACGATAACTAAGTATTCTTTTCAACTTGATACAAGAGGTTAAAAAAAAAACTATTGAGTGTGCAGAGCAAAAGAGGGATTGAGTCGAGCTCGAGAAGCATTTGCCCTCAGTTTGGTGTTCCATTTTACTTTGAAGTGGATTTTCCAGGCTGATCGAGTTTGCCCACTTTTCGTTATTCAGTTCACGGCTGCTCACTCGCGCGATATTGTGGGGTGCACCGGCATTCATTATTATATTGAGGCGAGGTGAAGTGCAAATACTCAAGATATCTCCACTGCAATTCTTCGAACAGAATGAGATGGCTCTGTTCAATGTTTTATTTTTCACTCCCTTTCGACGTCAGTCATTTTTTGCCGATGACTCTGCACATGTCGAAGACGTACTATTATTCCAGGTATAAATAACGTTTCAGATGCAGGCTCTATTGTTACTGGGATCCTTTCCCTTCTAACTAGACGACTGGAAATTCAATGCAAAGTGCACTGGGATGTATATCAAACACCGAGGGAATACAAACAAGTGAGAGGCGGAGAGATTCGACCTTTGTCTTTACGTAGCGAGTGGTGCGACATGGCGCTGAGCACTCTCGAGCCATCCCGAAAGCTTTGGGAATATTTATTGTGAAGGGGCTTAGGTTGAAGGCAATACCATCGAAGTACTCTCAGTATTTTGGAAAATTAAATGTCAAGTAGAAAGAAAAAATCATTTTTCAGTTGAGAAAACGATAAGAAAATAAGAAAATTTTTTTTTTCAGTTCTTCACTTCACTTTTTCTTCCATTCGATTATTCTAGCCCAAATTATGTCTAAATTAGAACTAAAATATTGCACAATGTTCATTTTTATGATAAAAAAAATGAAAATTTTAGATGTGTTTTATTGAATAAAAGAAATTGGGAAATTTCTTCGTAAAAAAAATTAATGCAAAAATATCCCAATTGTCCTCCCTGTCCTAATGAGGGAGAAGATATTTGCCTTCAAAATACATGGTTAATTATGTCAACCACCAGTCGATTACCCAGAACAAACGAAATGAGTAAATTTACCTGACAATTTGATGAATAAATATTTAAGCAATTACAAACGAAAAGGATGGATTATATGGTAGCACCGCTCAAAGGGAGATTCTGTCCTTGTTCCTAGTGCAGATGACAAAGGTACGAGACATTGAATAGAGCTGGCTGTCAAGGCGCAGGTCTGACTTAACACCACGAATCTAATTCCTAATCAAGTGTCTGTGACACTCGAGCGAGTTTGATCAAACGAGACTCATTCCGGTAATTCATGTGTTGAAATGTTTAAAGGAACTTGTGATAACAATTGAATAATTTTCCGGAGATACATGAACTCGCCCCATCAAGAAGATTATTTAAAAAATATGTAATATGGACCAATTCTATTTTATTTTATTTACTTTTCCAATTTATCAAGAATATATAAAAAATATATATCGAACATATATTTCGTATATTTTTTCAAGTAAATTGGGCCAATTTGAGATATTTTTTAATATATTTTTCAAAATATAAATTTTTCCTTGTGGGCAGACATCCGCATAATCATAATTTTTAATTACAGTTAAATTTTGAATGAGTCAATTGCTGATATTACTCACTAATTTTGTGATTATTGAATTAGCCATCAATTTAAATATTCAACCTTCGAATTACTTCAGCAATCAATAATTGAGAAATTAAAATTACCAATTACTATACTATTTTCAATGAAGATTTCAATGAAGATAAGTAAATTTTAATTATTGTAAGGTGCAACTTCTCGTAATATTACTAAAGTGATGATTGATGCCGATCTGTGCATCAACTCGACTGTTTCGTGAAATTCGCCGGGAAAATAAATGAAAATTCTGAAAGCCTCGAGACATTTCTGGCATACCTAGCGGAAATTCAGCGGGAGTTTCTCCCGCCCTCCGGAAGGACCTTGAGACGTCTCGGAATCCGAGAAATTGTACCGCAGTGGTAGTGACCCCAGACAACGCAGATGGAAAAGCTTCAACCCAAAATGGAAATTATTCATCTATTGATTCATTAAATGTTTGTATTTGCCACCGACAATTCTGTGTATTTTCGTTAGGTACGATTCGAATCGTTAACAGCTAGCGTGACGCCAGTGTCCGAGTTTTTGTCTTTTTAAACTCGTTGGATATTGGTGCTAGGTAAACATTTACAGCGTACTGAATCGTAAAACGAGTTTATTGCTTCTCGACCCAGTGAATGCATCTTTCTTCAATTGCAATGCTGAGGTTTTCAGGAGGAAAACGATTTGTAGGGAGTTTCACTAAAATGGAACTAACATTTTTCGTAAATCCATTGGTAAAAATTCTCTGCTGGAATTTCTAAACTCAAATTTGACGCAAAAATTAATGAAAATGGTAAATTTTCTCTTAATTATTCCACGAAAATGAATGAAAATCAGTGTGCGCGTCCTTGAATTTTTAATTCATCGAAAATTCATGATTTTCCCCCCTGAATCAAATCTAATGTTGCTCTCTTAAAAATTATGACTAAATTGTCCAAGAAATTCTAATTTCTTCCAAAATAAAAAATACGAATCTTCAATCTTAGAAAAGGCTGAGCCACCAGAGACAACTATTAACAATATTTACATTGCAATTATAAAAAATCAGATGATTTACAAAAAAATTTTGAAACTAAATTTATCGAGCAGGACAAACTGAAATTTCATTATTCAGAAAGTCACCCATTGAATAATCGTCAAAACCTCCACCAGAGACGACAATTGTCCCCATCTGCCCCAGTCATATCGCGCTGTAAAACGAGGAAAATTTTTATTCAAATATTTCCCCCTCCCCCCTCCCCTCCACCGCGATAAGAAGACTTAGCATTTGCCGGAGCGCCAACTGTCGCCTTGAACAGAATTTTTCCAAGCCAGAAACACCCAGCCACTGTTCCTCGGTGAATGGATCCACCCTGAATGGAATTTGAATGCAAGAAATACCGTTGGAATATTCGTTGTGATACGATACTGTGGTATCTATTTTTCTCACACATGACGAGACAAATCCAATCTCTTTGCCTGCTTATCTCCCCGTCGAATTCGCACAGCGAGCACAACAAAACAGCAGAGAACAACTCCATCGAGAGAAATAAGTCGAGAAAAAAAGCTGTCGAGAATGAAAAGACAGCGCGAACAAAGTCGATCTCTTCGTTTTTTTCCAAGTCGATCATTCCGAACTTTCCAGACGCAGCTTTCGCCCCCGTTACGTCTCATCGAGTGAAAAAGAACTCGAAGACGAGAAACAAAAGGAGATAAATCAAATAAATCGAAGGATTCCAGAAGTAATGAAGTCCCATTCAATTAATTCAGCACATCGGCGTATTTGAATTGAATACAACTCTTCTATTGGAATTTTTCTATTCATTTAGATTTTTTTTTCTTAAAATCGATGAATTTATGTATTTTTCGCCACGAGAATGTTGTTATTCTACTGGAATAAGTGATTTATTAATTCCCAATGGAGAATTATTAATGAATTCGTTCTCTTCGTCATTTAAACAATAATTTAATCTCTAACTATTTACTTCATTTGATTAAATTTCATTTCAACTCAAGTAAACCATTTCTCCGGTTAGAGTTTTCTTCCCTCAATGTCTTTGGTCCCCGTCAAATGCACTCAACTCCCTGGATTTATTGATACAAGACTCGATTCACTAGACAATAAAAAGTCAGTGGGGGTACATTCAAGTGCAGCCTCGTCTCAATGCAAATATCTAGCAATTGCCAGCCTCATGACTCTCTTACTCCAGCCCTCGAATAATTCAATTGGCACTCGTGGATGCTTGAAACTACCTGAGGCCCTACTTTCCCCTCTGTCTTGCACTCTCGGAGAACTCCTGGTTCTCCGGAGATGAGGGATCACACACCCCAATAATCGCGATAGAAATATTGCGGTTGTGCCTCTGAATTTCGTCCGTTAATACCTAAATTGTTGTTAGAACACAGTGCGGAGGGGAAATGGTAGGAATTTGTGGAGAAAATGTGTTGTGAGTCTTTGGGATGAGGTCCATTAATCTTCCACTCTATCACTTACTGCGAATTTTTTTCTACTTTTCTTTATTAAAATGGAGAGAATGGGTCTATATGAGAATGAATGATCTTTCATTTTCTCTCGCTTTCGTTGAGAGGATTAAGTTGAATGATTCTATTGTTCAATTTTTAGATCACATGGATTAACGTTAATAATTGCTCATCAGCAAAAATATTTATTAAACGATGTAAAATGAAATGAATTGACGAGAATGAATAATAAACGTAACAAGCACTAAATAAAATAATAATAAAAATTATTCGACAGGTCTGAATTATAATCTCGATATTTAACCGTTAGAAAACATTTTAAAAATATGAAAAAAAATTAAAATTTACTGTTGGACGAAGACTGATAAAATAATTAAAAAACTGCAATTAAACAATCAATTTTTCACTGTAAATTTTTTTTTCGGAATCCTAACAAATTTATTCATCTTCAGAATTTTACCAGAAATCGATTAAAAAATTTCGATTATTCATTTATAAAAAGCGAATGTTTAAAAAAATGATAATTTAGTACAAAGTGTAATCTGAATTTCGCACGCCATTTAATTGAAAAATGTGTATCAAACTGCAAAATACACTTGATACCCTTCAAATCCTTGAAAACCTCTCCAGAATGTCCTGACACCCAGAAAAATTTCCTACAAAATTAACCCTTTTGTCAAAATTATCACCGGATACGGCGAAAAAACGACGCGTTTAAAAACCCAAAACTTTAAAATTTTCGATCGCCTAAGAAAGAATCCAATTGATTAGCCAAGTGAAAATACCTGAGCCCCCAACAGTGAAACATCAAGTCCCCCCAGCCAACTAAAATCCCATTCCCCACGGAACACGTACGAACGGAACTACCGTGATGGGTCAAATGGGACATAAAGTTTGAGTAACGTGCAATCCCGTCGTGAGGTATACCAAACTCCTATGCTAACCGTAAATTGGACCTCCAACGTGTGTACAGCCACACTCGCCGGCCCCACTGTGGTTTATCCCCGCGCGATACATGTAACACACACGCCAGAAGGTGACGAGGGTTCTCCATCTTTTCACTACGCATAAACAAACACCCTTGACCTATCCATCAACTACTGTCTTACCGAGCGACGAAGTGGGCTTTTATGTGAATGAAAAATTGAGGGATATACGGAGAGACTGAAGAAACTATGACAGTGAGATAGACTTCATGCAGATGCAGATGAAAATCGTTCAAACTTTCCATAAATAAAAATTTGGCGCTTGAAGAGGAAAAAAAAAATTCATTCTCAAGAAAAATGTCAGACATTTGTGGATCAATAGCTCTTGACTCTGAGAATACTTCTCCAAGTGGAAAAATTAATTCTTTAAATAGCCGAGGAACTTTAGTTAATTAGAATAGCCCAGAGTGGGCGTTAAATAGCACTTGAAACCAGCAATTTACGTATTTTTTAAATGGCTGCAGTTTAACTGGATTTTTCCTATCCATTTTCATAATGTTTAAAAATATAATTAGAAATGTAATCCAGAGAGAACGGCATAGGTCGAATTAAAGAGGAAATAACGGCTGAACTACGTAATTGCTCTCTAATTCAGCGATTCGTGTTGGAAAGTTTTGCCGGTGAGCGGGGAGTTATATCAGTGTTATAAAAATTTACAGCGAGACGATACAAACTGAATTAACCCGAGCGTTTACAATGTAAAACGGCAGTCTGACACCGTCCGGGGTTAATCTACTGTGACTCCTGGGGAGGGGGAGAGAGAAGATGGCGCTACACGAGTTGAATACGTGCACTGAAGACATCTTCGGATCTAAATTCAACGCGAAGTTCGCGGAGAACAACAGAAGAGAGAATGAAAATAAGAGAGGGAAACTAGAAGTTGAGGAGTCGAGAATGCAAGAAACTAGGAATTTGTAGAGAAAACGAAAAACTGAACAATTTTTTCTTTTTGGAACTCAGGGACTTACCCCAGACACGTCCGAGGCGCTCGTTAACAATCTCACGATCTACGAAAAAAAATAGAGGAGATACCTGTGAGCAATTCCACGTGAAATTCATGGGTTCTGTGAACGACATTCAAGGGTTTATCTAATATTTCGAATTAAATATAGATTTTGGTTTTACCAGGAAATCGGCGTGAATTAATTGGACTGAGGATAAAAAATTCAATCTCTCTGAAAATAAATTGATGGTTATTGATTTGTGTCAACGAAAATGGTTTAATTGTGGGAAATAAATAATTCATCCATTCAAATAAATCCTCGATTGGGAGTGGAACATCAATTGAACTCGTGATAAAAATGTTTTTATGTCGGAACATAATTTTTTTATCGAGATTGAGTTGTTCTATCCATTTCAACAATATTTTGTTTTCAAGTTGATTCGTAATCGCATGAAATGAGTAATTCATTCACTCCGTTTGTTAAAAATATCTTCTCCAATTTTTCTCAAAGAATTAAATTTTAAAAAATTTAGACTTAAAAAAGCACTTGAGCTAATGTAAAAAAGTGTATTTTTTTCGCACAAAAAGTTTTCGAGGAAATGATTTAGTGACGCCATTAAACTGATAAGACAAATGTTTTAATATTAAAACATCATTGTTTTATCATCAAGATTTGCGATTATACAGCACTAATGAAATTGTTCTACGAGGATATGAAATGCCAGTGTAACAAGAGGAAGATCACAGCTTATCGTAGTGGTGATAAAACCAACGACGAGTTTACTGCTGACTGTTAAATTTGAAAGCCAAGGATGAGCAGACGCTTGGACTCCCTCGACTCCTGACTTGATGTGGACGTGTAATTAAACAAGTTTATGCTTATTAAGTAATAACTCGGGCTCTCTCGTTTTTCTCATGTCCCTTTTGTCCTCTCAATCTCAGAATTTATTTACCAGGACTTCTAGAGGGTACAGGAATTTGTTGGCAAGATTATTGAGACCCATAACCCGATAATTGCATTTTTATTTCCATAAAAATGAGGGAGGAAGATGTTTTACATTTATGGGTTTTCCTTGGAACAATGGACATGAATATTCCAGGGAGAGGTTCAATTTTCTCGGGGAATTTCTCGACAGGGGGAATTAATTGACCCGAAATAGACCTTTCCGATAGTTAATGTCATGTTAACTCATTTCTTAGGAAAATACAATTTTGTTTCTCGGAATAGACTTCTTGAAAATTTTTATCAAGTGACAGTTTCATTGAAATATTAAGGAATTTTGTAATAAAAAATTCCCAATTCGGTTGACAATAAATCAGAAAAATTGAGGTAGATATTCTTGAATGTTTAATTAATTAAAAATTTAGAGTAATTTAGTAATTTAATTGAATATTCGTGTTGTGATTGAAAAAAATTAAATTACAATTTTTTAAAATTCACTGTTAGGAAAAAAATTGACTAGTAATTCTCAGGCATGTGACGTTGAATTTTGTTTGAAGGGAAAAGATAATAAATTTGTAGAACTCAGTGAAAATTCAATGAATTTCCAAATACCTGAGCAGCAGAGGCACGATAATTCCCCAATTTACTTGAATTCCCAATCAAATCATGAATTACGCAAAATTTTTAATTCATAGAAAATTCAAGAATATATTTATCTGAATTTCCCTGACCTCAATTAATTTTCGTGGAATAATTGAACTAAAATTTACAGTTTCCATTGATTTTTCCGTGAAATTTTGAATTTTCACCACCAAGTGTACCGGAAATTTCAGAAAAAATATTTTGAAATCAGTTTTGGATACGCCCTATGATAATTGCAACTCCCCATAGCCCATTATCGATAAAAATCGATGGAAAATTCATACAACTCACCCACGTACCCGCCGCATTGCAGATGTAACGATGATCAGGGTGAAAAGAAGAGTTTCCAGAAAAAGAGAGAACTCAGGAAACCGAGGAAGATGCGATTGAAAGGGGATATAACATCCCTCGGATCCCCTGCCCTGTGCTTTATCGCTCTCAATATACGTCTTCTCAAACGTTTCATTGCCCAGCTCGTGTAGATATGAGAGGAATAAGAATATAACGAAAATAAAATGAAAATTGTACGACTGAGGAGGAACAAATGGACCATTCGAGTCACTCGAGTTGATGACATCTTCGTTGATTGACGACAATTTTCAGGAAATTGGGTTTCACGGGATCAATCACACAGAGATATATCTCATTCCATGAGACAATTGATTAATTTTGCAATTTTTCGTTCACGTCAGAGAGGTAAACATGCGGTCCGACACCAAAATTCACTTTCACAATTTTTTCATAGTCTTCCCAAATTTGTAATCAAAGACCATTTATTTGATTTTAGCCTCAATTATTATGTCAAAAATTTCATTCAACCTTCGTCCATTCATTTTAATAAATTTTTTAATAAATAAAATCATATATTAAAGTCAATAAAAATGTTCTAATGATGCGAAATAAGTAATTCATTAATTTCAAGGGAAATTAATAAATAAATTAATCAATTAATTAGTGAAAAGGGGTGGTTTAATTGTGATTTAATTATAACTTCAATGAATGCATTATAACTTCAATGAAAAACTTACTCCTAGCAGACTTGGAAACATAAGTAAGAAGATCCCTGTAGTCTTTGGCACTGTTGGTCTCCTCATTGAAACTCTTGTGTACCGAGCTCTTATTGAGTGCCGTGAACACACCACCGAGAGCAAAATGACATCCGGAATTTCCCTTGCTGCTCTCCATAGCGTGATTGTGATAAATCAGGGCTGCTGTGGTCCAGCCAAAGCCCTGGAGTATTTGCCGGAGTACTTCACCAACTTGACGATGCGAGCCCATCATTCTCGTCAGTGTCTGGTAATGCTCGACTTTGTGACGAAATGGATCCGCTTGCGCTCCTGTTGTCAATACTGGTATGGCCCATACACCCGCGTATCTTGCTACCGGGGCTATCACGTAGTCGCAGACAGGACCGAGAAAGGCGTCTGCATTTTGGCAATTTTTTTTCCTCATTGACTTGACTCCGTTTTATTAAAAATGAGGAATCCAATTTTTTCAGTTATAAATCCAAAGCAGTAATGGACTTGAATCAAACAAGAGTCTTTATTTGGATTAAATAAAAAAACATTTTCAAACAAAACTCTTCATTTGAAATTTTCTGATTTATTTCAATGATAATGTTTCAATTATGTCAAATGAATAATTTATTCACTGGAATTTATTTTGTGCCAATAAATTCGCTCTCCTCGTCATTTAGGCAATAATATTTCTCCTAGATAATAAAGTTTCTCTTCGGATAAAATACAATTTGTTTGATTCAAATAAATTATTTCTCCGGGTGCAACGAAAAAATTATGATAAACTTCATCTCCAAATTTCATTCATTGGATTTTCATTTCGCCTCGACATCCATAAAATTCTGACAGAATATCCCATTTTTATCAATTTACCGGGATGAAAATTAAAACCCCAGAGCTGTCGAAAAAAAAAATCGCCAATTTTTTTCGATTACGCGATGGAGACTCACCCCATCCACTTCAATTTCCCGTCCAATCCATTCCCGAACGAAATTTCATTGACACAGAGTAGGAGCCCATCGTGCAAAATTATGAAAAAGTAATTTGACTTTTCCGCGATAATGAGAGAACTAATTAAATGGCCTGATTAATTAGTCGGCCCAGTGAGTCATAAAAAAATCGAAAGTGAAGAAGTTTTGAGGCGAAGCCTTCGGCGCGGACAGTCAGGCAATTAGAATTTCATCATCACTGTGTGAACTTATGAAAGGGAGTTTTTGTTTTTTCTTTTTTTACTCAAGTTTCTCTCAACTCCAAGGGCTGGTGACGCAACAAGTGTATTATGCGCGTCGTCACTCCCTTTGGGGTAGACCCTGAATCATTTTGAATCTCGAGGGGCTGTGGGGGCTGACAGACTATTATCAGATGAATATTTCCCGAATTTTCGTCAATGGTCACGCAACAGATAAATTTAACTCAACTCTTTGAATTATTCAAGGCTGCAAGGTGAAAAAACTGAAACGGGATTTATTATTTTACAACAAACAACTCGTTTGTGAGATAAATGAGCGATTACTCCTGAATTTTTACTAAAAAATATTGAAATTATTAACAACAATTAATTCCCATGAAATTTTTCTGTTTTTGTTACCGAGGAATTTATCAATTTCTCGAATTTTCACATTTGCATTTTCTTTTTTAATCCATTAAAAATTCAATTACATCTGATTTTCAATTGTCACAATGAGTCAAGAATTCCAGTTGTCGAGAAATTTCATCTTAAATTAAAATCCTCAACATTAAGAATTTGAATTAACTAAAATTCCCAGTCTATTGTGGATTTTCAGGCGCACTCCCCTCGCCAAATCCTTTGAACTCCAAAAAAAAAATTCAGCACAAAGTATAACAATATTTCCTCAATTTTTCGACGCGTCTCCCTCGAATTTTTTTATCAGCAAAACCGATAGAGAAAGAAAATCAGTCGAGCAAAAATGGGATAAACGTTAAAGAGAAACTCGTCGGCATTGTTTTTTGTGCACATTTTTTTTCGAACAGAAGGAAAAACGTTCAAAGTGTCTTTGACCACTGGCGGAACAAATGCCTCATGATTTTTAAGGAGAGATTATGGATGAGTACGATGTATCCACCTCCCCATCAGGGGGATCATTCCGCCCGGATGCACGACGATTTTATACATCACCAGCAATATTTCCATTGATTACCCAGCGGTCGGTTTGAAGACATGTGAGGGCCTTCCTTATGAGCTTGGAAGTGCTCGGAGTTTATGGGGATGAAGGACTCGAGTGGCTCTTGACGGGGGACAGACAGGATTCTCCACTTGGCAGGCATCGCGCCTTCGGTCGCCTCCCCGACATCTTCCACAGCCCATCTGACCCCATAAACCCACCTAACAGCGGGGTAACCCAATGGAATTTATCGATTCAAGGGGAAGAGGGGGAGGCGATAAAGGAACTTTGCGCCCTTGATGTGTAAATTTCATCTCGATGTATTTAGAATCTCATCTAGCGGTGAAATTACTCTCCTTTGGTTACGTAATTTTATTGTGACATGGTTGCGGAATTATCGAAATGAAAAAATTCGATTTTCAAAATTGTTTTAAAAATGAAAAAATTGACGTTCAAATTCTCATGAAATTTATGAGTTTATTTGTAGCAATGTAGTTTGAAATGCCATGTAAATTCAATTTTCGTTGAGTATTTAATGATTTGGCAGTAAAATTAAAGTGTCGAATAAAATGAAAATGAAATACGGAAATGGAGAAATGGAGGGGTTGAATTTTTTCATGTGGATATTTCAAGAATAACAAAAATTCCGGAATTAATTGTCAGAATGGGCCGTCACATTCATCTGAATATGAAATCAATTGGAAATTCGCGGCAGCACTCGCTCTATTTTTCACGTATTTTGAGCACTTTCATTATCATATGATCTTGAAGCATTAAATTTAAAAAAATAATAATTTGTTGATTTTAAAATTTTAAAGATATTTCCGGAAAAAGTGTGCGATGAAATCTAAATAATAATAACAAAAAGCGGGAGGGTAAACAATCGATGCGAAATATTAACGTTTCCACCTATTCAAAATAGGAGAGGATTAAAATACAACGCATGAGAAATATTTCAAAAATAATCTTTCCTCTAAAGAGGATTCAACGTAATCGCGTCGAGAACCATCAGAGCATACTGAGCTTTCGTTCGCAATACATAGAATACGTTTTTTCACACTCAATGGAACAATTACCTCTCTAATGCCCAGAGAATCTGAAATGGAATGACATTATTTCACTTCCCACACGAAATTCAATTTTTCATTTTGTGGAATCACGAGTGTGGCTTATGGAAATAGTAGCGAGAACTTCTCATTAATATTCTATTCAAAAAAATGAAATAATTTCCCTCGTGACCATTTAAATGTCTGTAGGGACTCGTAAATTATTAATTAATTGAATTAATTAATTCAGTCAACATTCTCTTACACTTCTTGAAAATTTTTATCGTGTGACAGTTCCACTAAATTTCGAGGAATTTTGATATAGAAATTCATAATTTGACAGAAAAATGAATTGGAACTTCAAAATTCAGTTTAATTATTTCCTGAAAATTATTGTTAATATAAAACATTTCATGTAATTAGTGAAAACCAGATAAATTAATTCTTCAATTTTCAATTAATTGAAAATTCAGCGTATACTGGTACTGAATGTTCATGTTTCAATCGAAAATTGAAGTAAATTTTGTTGATTTCCCCATCCCTATACACTCCCCCCCAGTAATTCTCCAATGAATCGACTGTAATCCGCACGTGACGTATACAACGAAAGATTTAAAACATAGATTTACTACTGCACAACAGCTGTACTCGACACTATTATCCAGACATATGCTCCTACAATCCTCTCACGTTTTTCTATTACGCGGAAAAACCCATGAAAAAGCTTTTAATATCCCCTCGACCTCCGGATGATTAAAAATTCTCCGAAAAAATGTGGAAACTCCGGGTGGAAAAATAATTGAGGCAATCCGCACATTAAATTAGGAGTGAAGTAACGAATTGAAGTAGAGAAACTCGATTCTATCAAATTGTATCTCCGCGTTCAAAGAATCCCTCGAGAAAAGCGAAATGAAGATACAGATGACATAAAATATTCAACTGTCTCGATAACAATTTTTTTTTCGCTCATTTTTTTCGGTTCTGAGGATAAACTCGGATGGTTTATGAGACTTATCGCAACCCAGATTTTTTGCTTCTTGTGTTTAACGATATGTTAACGTATAGAAACAATTTTTACGGGGGCAATTTAATGGAAATTTTTTCGTCAATATTTTTAATCATCAAATTTGTGTTTTAAATTTATTTTAAACATGTAATTTTCTCAATTTTATAATTATAAGTAAATTATCTGTTTTTAAAACAACAGATTTTTATTATAATTATCATTAATAATAATTTATAATAATAATAACAATTTTATAATAATATTAATATTATTATTAATATTATATTATCAATAATTTTTCATCATTATTATAATTATAATGATAATTATCTTTAATAATAATTTATAATTATAATTGAAAAACAGATTTTTTAAATTATAATTAAAGCCGCGGAATTTTATATCGAATTCGCTAGATTTTTCCATCAAATTCTTCTGAGCGTGTCATTAATAATTCAATAGAGAAAGTCTGAAAAAATATTAAGAACATTTCCCCTGATTAACAGCAAAAAGCTTCATAAAAAAATTACGCTCCAGAAGCCCCCGAAATCTTTCTCCCAAAAGTTTTTCCCCCGAGAAAATGATTAAATAATAACGCCCAAACCAAGAAACAAACTTTCCTCTCGTCTAAAAATAATTCCCAGACAATTGGACATGATTTTCCCCGGGACGAGAGCATCCACCGAAAGAAACCTCAAAACAGGGTTTTATTAATTCAAACCGAACAGCGGTCTCGACGCGTGTAATTAACGATTAATTAAAGCGGCATTTGAGACAAGATGAAGTAATTTAAGGAGGCCAAAGAGACGCCTAAGAAATAGGAAAAAAGAAATCGAGAGAAAGTCGTCAAGTAGTTGAGTGACCGTTTGAGTCTCATTTCAATTTTTTTGCTTCAAAGTGGAAGGGAAGATTTTTAGCAGCTGCACAATGACCTCATCTTGATGTTTGAAAACATGTACTTTGATGAGTATCCCTAGCGTGAGGACAAACGAACCGCAATTCGCCTTCACTCTTAACTACTCGGAGAATTAATTGGCGGAGTGAAATTTTATGGAGGAATTTAACGCCTGGATAACACTTCTTTCTCATCTACTTGAAAAGCTAGGAAATTTCCGATAAAATGGAATACCATTTTTCTCGGTGCAAATATTTTTTCATTTGATTTTTTTTACGGAAAGAGAAGAAAAATAGAGTGGAAAAAACCACGAGAATTCATGCCGAGAAGTTTAGAAA